GAGGGCAGAAGCCCCGGAATGTATTTCACATAGCCAGCCAAAAAAACTTTAAGGCTAAAAACAAAGCAAAACCAGTTACTACTAGTCTTAAGAAGGTGAGTATTTGTTATGTAAGCTGACTTTATTGTTTGCAAGGAAACCACAGTGGTAAAGCTCCTGAACAGCTGAATTCTATTGAAATCAGAAGTTCTTTTGTTTAAAAAAACAAAAAATGGAACAAAAATGTTTTTTTTCAAATTCAAGTGTAAAAAGGCATTTTAAGTGTAAGTGTGAGGTATAATATAATAGTTTGATAACTTTATTAGAGCACAGGAATCATTTTTTAAAATAAAAACTACTATATGGAAAACAGTTCTTATTTCTGAACCCTCTATTCAAGAACCTACTAATAGAGCTCACATATGCAATGTCAGCCGGTACCCTTTATTTTTCTCAGGAATTTTATCTTGGGACTCAAATGATGAAAAATTATTTTGTTTCTTGAAGTGCAAAATTTGAAAAGGAGTTTTACCTTTATATTTTAAAATATTTGAGTAATTTCTTCAAGTAGATATCTTTAACATTCTTTTAAGAAAATGTTTCCAAATTCAAATAGTAGGTAGAGCCAGTTATCCAGGAGTCAGTGACTCACAGTAGTCATAGAAAAGAGATATTTTCTTTTAACTCATAAGAGTTAAGCTTTTAATCCAGCAGTTTGGCTTTGTAAATGCTGTAAAGGAAATAAATCTGAGTGATACCATGGGTTTGAAGTTGAGTTTTACATCTGATCATCTTCATAGTTGACAATGAAGCCAAGACAAATAGGCTTTGCTAGGGAAGGTTGTAAGATTGCCAGACATTATATGAGTGGTAAACTGAAGTTTGTGGTGATGAATTTAAAGTAAAGTCAGTCAGTTGGTTGTGACTTTTTTCTAGCTTCTGTTCTGGGCTTAACCAGGTTGCCAAGCAAGTTTGATCAAGGGAAAGATGAGAGGGGAAGTTGAGTGTAAAGAAGTTAAGTGATTAGATGGTGGTCATGAAAACTGTGCTGGTTGAGGAGAAAACTAGGATAGAAGAGCTGAAAATCATGAAATTGTTGGGAGGTTTAAGAATTGTTAATAAACTAAATGAGCTATAAGGAGGGGAAGTAGTTGCAGAAGATATATCATAAGAGTAGCTGAGGTAGATAGTGGAAAAGGTCCCTGGAGGTGAGACATTCAGAGGCCATATGATTAGATTTTTGATGTCACTAGGCATGAGAGGGGTAAGTGAGCCAAGGTTTGAAATATTTCATGAAGGATCAATAATTGTGGTGTTGGTAGGTGACAGCAATGAGTATGGGGTACCAGAATGTTCTCATGCTTATGGTGCAAAGGAGCTGAAGGTTTTAAGGAAATTGTTTTGATAGTATCACTGAATGTCAGAACACTACGCCCACCTCTTTGGAAGAGGGCTTCTGGGAGCTTCCATTAAGATAAGATGGACAAGGATTCAGAGTCTACTGAAAAAGGGGGACTAAAAGCATTTAAATCAGATTTGTTTTATAGATGAAAGAACGATAGCATGTTAGCCTGGAAAAGACTGGTCATCACATATTGTGGCCTGCTTATGCTAATGAAGTCTAGATAATGAGACATATCCATCATTTTTAAAAATCCAAAACCTCTTAGCTAAAATTTCCAGGTAAGACTATAACAGATTTAGTGTGAATTTGTCCCACAATTTGGTAGCGTCAGTAACACTTTTTAGGTTTAACAAGAGTAAAGATGAATACATTTTATCTAATTATTATGAGATTGTGGATTACTCTTTTTTTTAATAGATAAACATTGTGAATAATGAAAAAGTTAACCGAGTGAATAAAGCTTTTGTGAACATACAGAAGGAACTTGCACACTTCTCAAGAGGCCTTTCT